TATCCACTTCAAAGTTTACTGGGGTTCCCTCCACTTCAAAAGTTACCCTGAGCTCGGGGAGGGGATCTGAGCCCCGACTTTTTTAGTCATCCGCTAGAGTCAGAATGGCTGGCTGGCATGGCTGTCTCTTTTTAGGGCACTCTTTGGCTTAGTGTTTTTTTTTTTTTTTACAGTAGGCATATTGATTTAAGGCCAGGGGTGGCCTCTGGCGTGGGCCCAGGTATTCCTTTCTGTCTCCCTGTTTCTTAATTTCTGGCCTATTTGCTGTCGTGACCAGGACCTTAGTCAACGCCTTAGTCTGTCTTTTGTTTCTTTCATCCTCCCTTTGCTCCCTTCTCTTCCTCAATTTCTCTCTTATAGTATACCTTCTTGGCTTCTCTGACTAAATCTCTCAAAGTCATATCTTGTAATCTATCTAAGTGTTGTAACTTTCTTTTAATATCCAAGGCAGCTTGCCCAATAAAGGCCATCATGACAGATGGCTTTTGATCCTCTGCCTGAGGATCGAAAGGAGTATATCTCCTATATGCTTCCATAATTCTCTCTAGAAATATAGAGGGAGATTCATCAGGCCCTTGAATAATCTCTCTTACCTTGGCCAAATTAGTTGGTTGCTTAGCAGCCACTCGGAGACCCACTATTAGAGCCCGGCGATAAGTGGACAGATGCTCCCTACCTTCAAAGGTGTTGGGGTCCCAGTTGGGTCGGTTCAAGGGGAAGCCGGCTTTAATTATGTTGGGAAGTTGTGTTGGTTGCCCATCATGAAGAGAGTCCCTAGGAGTTGTTGGCAGTTATCCCAAGTAGGCTGGTGTGAAAATGCCGGCGAGTTCTTTGAGTTCTTTTAGCCGGGCCAGATTTCTCCAGGGGAGGAGGGGCTGTGTGTGCCGCGGGGGAGTCATCTGGAGGGCGCTGGGCTGGTTTAGTTTCCTCCAATGGCGGAGAGGCTGAGTCAGCAGCAGGGGAATCACTTAGAGGGTGTTGGGGGTTGGGGGACGAGGGCAGGGGATAAGGAGGTGGAGGAGAGTCCAGTAGAGTCAAATCTTGAGACTCAGGGAGAACAGAGGGTGGAGGAGGAGGAGGAGCAGAGGGTTTGAGAGACAGAATCGTGGGGGAAGGAGTAGGTGCGGGGGCAGGGACAAGGAAAGGCTTCACCCATGGAGGAGGAGATTCGCAGAGGTCCTGCCAAGTTAAGATATACGGCTGTTGATCTGGATGCCTGTGTGGCCCCGGCTGAAAGACAAAGACAATATCTCTGACTTTTCGAATTAGTGGGAAGTAGAAAGATCCTTCTGGGGGCCATCCGACTCCAAAGGTGGGCCATTCTGAGGCACAGAGAGTCTGTCAGGTCCAGCATTTTACTGAAAAAGAAAGATTCTGAGCCCTTAAGCGGACTTTGGTCCAGTGATCAAGGGTCAGGGACAGAGGCGTTGAAGTGCTCTGTCCCATAATGAAAGATACACAAACAGTGAAAGCAATGATACATGACACAGACAAGACAAGACAATAAAGACAGGCAATGGATGTCCAACACTGAGACCAGGACTGAGTATCCAGCAAAACCCGATGGGCTGGCAATACCGAATCAGAAACAAAATATCACTGAGTCAAGGAGACTATTGTTCCTCGATTTCCCGAGTCCTCTGGGGTGTCCGCCAGGGATGTGGCCTGTGGCTCTGTGACACGTCTGTCAGCCACCATCTGAGAGAGCTCACGCTCTTCACCGACAGCCATTTTGCCAAGCCCTAACCTGAAACCAGAAACCAGAAAGAGTTGCCTTACTTACCCCGAGAGGAGCCCGTTGGGGGTCTTTTGTCTGCCGCTGCCGGATCTCGGTGGGACCTCCATATGTAAAGGTCAGGCGAGCGTCAGAGGAAGAGACCACCAAGAGACTGTCTCATGCAACAGCAAAGGGTTTATTGGGGGTCCAGCATGCTGGGGCTCAGAGCTCACTTGAATAGAGCAAAGAGCCCTGAGAACAGCTTAAGCAGAGCTTATATACTTTCCTTGGAGAGGGCAGGGAGGGAAGTTCATTGACGGGTCAGGGCGAGTGGGTGGTTTGCGTGCAACCGGGTAAGGGAATACATTCTGCAGTTTGGCAGTTGGGGACAGCACATTCTGGGAACAAGATTAACAAACAGTTCTCAAGATTATTAACCTTTCAGTTGTAATCCTCCTGCCTCAGCCTCCCAAGTCACTGGTAATGCAGGCATGTATTACCATATCTGGCTACAACACAATAGTAAAATGTTTGAAACATTCCCTTTAAGATAAGGAGACAAGGATTATTACTATTGTCACTCCTTTCAACATTTCACTAGAAGTTCTAGAAGACAAAGAAGGAACTAAATTTTGGTTTGTTTTGCAAATTATATGACTGTATTTATAGAAAACCCAATAAAATCTGTAGTCTTGTAGAATAAAAAATTCAGCATGTTATTAGTATTAGATCAATAATAAATTTCAATCCTTTAGGCCAGTAATACATAAGCAAATATATAATTTTAAAATGCCTTTTTACAGTAGCAACAAAATGTGAAGTACTAAGGAATAAATCTAATAAAAGATGAAACTAACCAATATGGAAAGGATATGTCTTTATTGAAACACATTTTATATTTATTTTTTTTTAGAGAGAGAGAGAGAGAGAGAGAGAGAGAGAATTTTTTTTTTTAATTTTTTATTTTTTAGTTCTCGGCGGACACAACATCTTTGTTTGTATGTGGTGCTGAGGATCGAACCCGGGCCGCAAGCACGCCAGGCGAGCACACTACCGCTTGAGCCACATCCCCAGCCCCTGAAACACATTTTAATACATAAATGGAGACATACCATTTTTATAGGTATAATGGTTCTGTCATCAAAACATCTGTTCTCCCTAAATAAATCCAAATTCAATGTACGTTCAATAAAAATACTCACAGGCTTTTTCCTAGAACCTGAAAAACTGAAGAAACAGTGGAAGAGTAAAGGAATCAGAAAAGTCAAAGTAATACAAATGCATAAAAACAGTAGGGAGAATTGACTGAAAAGCTATCAAAGTTTATTAAAACCTTGACAGTATGACAGGGCTGGGGATATAGCTCAGCTGGTAGAGTGCTTGCTTCATATGCAGAAAGCCCTGGGTTCAATCCCCAGCACCACACACAGAAAACCAGTACACGAAGGGACAAACAAAGGAGAATGGAGAACCTAGTAACAGATCCCCACATATAATAATACATGACTACAATGCAGTGGTGAGATCATAATCAGTGAGAGAAAGAATGGACTAGTTAGTAACTGATAGAAAATGAAGGGAAAAAATTGTAACTCTGACTTTAAAAAATCAAGAACAAAACACCCCTACCTTAGAAATCCAGGTGGGTTAAAAACCTAAATGTGACAAATACTTATAGAAGGAAATAACAGAAGTAGGGAAGAATTTCCTAAGACACAAAAAGCACAGACAAAAAAGTAATAGGTAAATATTTTATATTAAAATAAAACTTTTAAAAAAGATAATATTGCCATATATTTAAAAACATCTAATAATTTAGAGCTATGTGCTTAAATATTAAGGAAGAGACTTTGACATCTTCTAATAAAACTGAAGATTTATATTATTTACTACTTGCCTGTTCCCCACTTAAGCTAAACCCTAGAAAATTGTAATCACAGAAACATGTGCAAAAAGTTGACAGGCTCATTTGTTTTTAGTAGCAAAAAGTTGGAAACCTAATATCCATTTGAGAAGAATATATAACAATAGTGGTATATTTACATAGTGGAATGAAAGGAAATTAACTGAAGTAACACCTGCCAGCACGGATAAATCTCACAGTGAACAAAGAAAGGAACCCACAGCATACAAACACTATAATGCCATTTATATAAAATATAAAACCATGTAGAATTAAACATCGTTTGATCATACAAACATAATAACTTTATGGAGAAAACCTACAAGTTTAAAGTTCAGAATAGTGGTTATTTTTGATGAGAGAACTGGAATTCGGGGGCTAAAAGAAGCACCTTAGAGGTGATAAAGTGTTTTTTTTTGTTGTTTTTTCAGTGCTGGGAATTGAACCCAGAGTCTTGCACATGTTAGGCAAGTGTTCTGCCACTGAGCTATACCCACAGCCCAAGGTTTTACTTCTTAAGTTGTGCTGCAGGGGCATGAGTTGCTACATCATAGTATTCCTTAATTCTTTTATATATAATAATTCATACTTCAAAAATGTAGCTAGGCGTGGTGGCACACACCTGTAATCTCAGCAACTCATGAGGCTGAAGCAGGAGGATCACAAATTCAAGGCCAGCCTGGGTAACTTAGCAAGACCCTATTTCAAAAAGGAAAATAGAAATGGGGCTGGAAATGTAGCTTGGTGGTAAAGTGCCCCTGGCATTTATGTCCAGTATCATGAAAAAATGACAAACGTATTGAGAACAGATAAATGAAACCCTGCTTATCCCACAAGGAATATAGTCTGCTGCTGGAAGAAAAATGTTGAGTCCTTCCAGTCCAAGGCAAAAACAGCTACTATGAAAGCATCAGCTCCAATCAAAGCCAGACCTCTGATGGGGTTCCCAGTTACCACAGGATCAGCAGGCTATTTTTTTTTTTTTTGGTGCTGGGGATAGAACCCAAGGCCTCAGGCATGCTTGGCAAGCACTCTACCTCTGAGCTACATCCCCAGCCCAAATCAGTAGACTTTGATCCAGGTAAAGGGTGATCCCTGAGCCCTGGTTTTCCTTCTCCCGCACCCCCCTCCAACCCAGTTCTTCCATCTACTGTACATTCAGAATAGCTTCTAGGTTTGTTTCTTTCCTTTCTTTTTTTTTTTGTTACCAGGGATTAAATTTAGGGATATTTGATCACCAAGTCACATCTCCAGCCCTAGTTTGCATTTTATTTACAGACAGGGTCTCACTGCATTGCCTAGCTCCTTGCTTTTGCTGAGGCTGGCTTTGAACTCTCAATCCTCCTGTCTCAGCTTCCCAAGCTGCAGGTATTATAGGTGTGTGCCACTGTGCCTGGCAACGTTTCTTTTTTGGTGCTGGAGATCGAACCTCGGGCTTCATGCATGCTAGGCATATGATCTACCCTGAGGTACATCTGCAATCCTAGATTTGTATATCTAATGGCACTTGTGCAATAAATAAAATACAGCACAGTGCTGTCTGCACCTTTCATCCAGCTTTCTGAAGTGAGTCCATGTCTCTCGGAGAGAGAACAGCAGTAGTGTGTATGAAGGACTTGACACCTGTTGCTTTCTTCTGATGCCTGTTCCAGGGCTTCTCCAGGCAACTGGGAATAGCATCCATTCTGAGATCTGCAGTCTAGGCTTCCAGCTCATTGACAATAGAGTGCTTCTTTAGGAGGGTTGCCTATCTACACCAGTGCCCAGTACCAGGGAAGGAGACAGGTATGTGCCAGGCTTCCTGTCTAGTTAGGCAGCAGGCAAAAGACTGCTCACCCTGCTGGTATCAGCACTTCCTACCAACTTCTATTTCTGGCTTCCTGGGGGACTCCCCTGCTTCCTCATGGTCTTCCTGGGGAGTCCCCAGCTTCCTTGTGGCCTTCCCGGGGAAGTCCCCACCTTCCTTGTGGCCTTCCTGGGGGAGTCCCTGACTTCTCCATGGCCTTCCTGGGGAGCCCACAGTAATAGAAGCCTGATGGGTAGTCTGATCCCAGGGCCACTATAAAATGCTGCAGACTCTGGCTCCTGATGTCTCATTATATCTGCTTGAATCTGATGCCTTATATAGGCTATATCTAGCTTTATTCCAACTTCCTTGGTCCCATGATAACATAAGAAGTGTCAACTGAGCGTCTGCAGATCTGAAAGAGACCAAACAGAATTATAGGAATTGTCAACCTCCTCAAACACAGAATCTTTATTCCCCCCCTACTGGTCCCTGTGTCTTTGTCTTCTTTTTATTATGTTTCTTCTTTACCCACTGTAATATAATTGTCCCTCCTCTGAGTATGTTCATCATATGAAATTCTAATTATTTTGCTCCTTTTTGCCTTACTAAACTGATATCCCTCCTGGCATTTCCCAGATCTTGATAGACATCTCTAACTAATCTTAGTGAGAAACTTCATACTATTACTGTTACCACCAGCTAATACATATACAGGGTTTGATATGTGCTAGGCCTTGCCTGTAATGAATACTTAACATGTACTAGGTCATACTCTGAACACCTACTGAGTATACATACTATTCTTTCTCTTTTAAGTTCCTGGGAGTTGAACCCAGGGACACTTAAACACTGAGCTCCATCTCCAGTCCTTTTCATTTTGAGATAGAGTCTTGCTAAATTACTTAGGGACTTGCTAAGTTGCTGAGGCTGGCCTCTAACTTGCAGTCCTCTTGCCTCAGCCTCCCAAGTCGCTGGGAATACAGGCATATGCCACCATGCCCAGCTATACAATTCTTGTTTTACAGTAATGGAAGTCTGATAAGCAATAAGAAAATCAAGGCACACAGGAGTTAAATAACTTGCCTATGGGAGTAACTGCTCACATGATAATAGATAAAGAAGCCAGGATCCAAACCCAGTCTTTTCCAGAGCCTGCACTTTAAACTACCAGGAACTATAATGGCTGTCTCCTAAAGGCAATGTAGATCAGATTCTGAGGTTGAGTCCCCTCCCCTTCTTTCACCCTTCCGTAGCTTACAACGTATGACAGCTTCCTTGACTTGGTGAAAGCCACGATCAGGACCTCTGCCATCAACATAGTACATGAATCGGAGCTCAGGAGGGTAGGCATCTCTGGTCAGTCCAGTCAGCAAGGGGATGGTGCAGCCCTCGGCTCCCGGTGCCTCAGTCAAAGCCTGCAGCATCTGGTACTTGCACCAAGGATCATGAAGGAAGCCTGGAGTGATAAGCAGCACATGGCAGTGACTACTGCTCAGTGCTTGGCACAGCTCGGATACAATGGCGCCACCTGGGGTTGCATCCCGAAGCTGCAGGAAGCAGCGTAGGCTGGCAGTACTGCTCTCCAGGTAGGCGACCAGTTCCTGGGCAGCTGTCAGGTCCTCCTCACTGTGGCATACACAGACGTCATAGTCTTTGCTCCAGCGGCCCCTGCTGCTACTGGTATCCACGTGTGCTGATGATGGGTTGGAAGACATGACTGAATTGGGATTTGAGGGTCGGTGGCTGTCCTGTGAGGCTGACTGTGAACCATCACTGGAGTGGCTTTCTGAGTTAACAGGCATCTTCTTGGGCTTCTTCAATAGGGCTTGCCTGAACCAATCTGTAGTGGGGGGAAACATACTGCTCAGGCCTACATCTTTCCAGGCTACCTCCTCACACATGGAGGAGTCTCACCACCAAGAGAAGATGGGCAGATTCCTGCCAGCTCCCTGCGTTGGGAAACACCTTACTCTCAAAGATTTAGCTATGCCAACTTGTTATCCCTTTAGGCCTTGCCTAAGAGTTCTTTCTATCTTGAAAGGATTCAAGAATACATGAGAACTCTAGAGTCCTTATTTGGGAGTGTTTTATCAGCTTGATTAAGAGATGTCCTTAGCCAGGTGAGTAATGCACAATAGGGGGATCCTGTAGCCTCTGATGGAAGTGTGCAATGCTCAGCTAGGCCTGAGTACCAGAAATGTGGTCTTAGCTACAAAGGAGGCTGAGACATGAGATCACTAGAGCCCAGGAGTTTGAGGCCAGTGTGGATAACACAGTGAGACACTGTCTCAAAAACAAGAAAAAAATAGAGATGGCCTTGCCCTGCTCCAAGTCTTTTGATACCTAGTACCCCACCCCTTAAGTAGAATATTTCACTAGAACTAGCTGGTCAACCATCTGCATATAGAACTATGTATGCTGGTAAAGATCACCCTGTTCCAAAGCCCACTTCCAGCACTGAGATGAGGTGGCTTTAGGTTAGGGTGGGATGCCCATTGTGGAAAGGAAAGGGCAGGGGGGCTTGTATCTGTTTAGCTCCAAGAAATCCTAGATGTTGCTAAGTAGGCAACACGAATCTAGGAAAGAGAGCTACTGCTCTGGTAAAGCACAGGGCTTACTGATTCAAAATCTACACTTTGGAGCCAGGCACATAGATTAGGTTGTGTCCTACTGCTTATTCTATAACCTTAAGCAAGTTAGTCTAGATCTCCATTTCCTTTATCTATAAAATAACACATTTTAGTTGTTGTTGAAGGTTAACTGAGATAATGCAATATCTCATATATTATAAGTACTCCATAATAATATTAAAACTCAGCTATTGATGAATACAGATAGTTTGGTGTTTGGGGGATTGATTCATTTTTTTCTTTTTATGGTCCTAGAGTAAAGGTTCTAGAGTAAAGATTAGTATGACAAGAGTCACAGTATTAAGCATTTAGCCTAATGATTTCTAGGCTAGGAAAATTGTTTGAGCAGGCTAGAAAACCTTTGAGCCAAAAGGATTGAAGAACCCACCAAAGAATTCACTGATGCATGCCTCTCTCCTCACTCTCCACCAAAGCATGGGCACTGAAGTCTAATGAGGAGTTCTGCCCCCTTGTCATCCTTCTGCGTCACCTCCCTGTGTTTGGACCAGGCAGGCCTCCCACCTCGCCAACATGCAGACTAAGGACTACACTCTTAGGAGCAAGAACAGGAGTAGGAATCTGGGTCCACTCACCAGCCATCTTGCCCAGGGGCTTCTTGGACTGGGATTGAGGAGCAGGGAGGGAGGTCGATGATGCCATAGTGTTGGGCTCAAAACTAACCCCATGAGACTGGGCATCAGTAAAGCAGTAGAAAGGGGGAAACCCAGTCTTGACCTCATGGAACAGCCATCCTAAAAGGGATAGAGAAAGAGAATCATAAGTTATACCTACCTTACTCCTAATCCCAGTTTGTGAGCTTCTGGAAGTTCTGCCACTCTGCTAATGCCTAAACAGGCCCTAATCATGAGACTAGGGAAAAACAACACTGTGATTAGAGCTGGTTTCTGAATAAACCAGGTTTTGTGAAGTATACTCAGACTTACAGGGTGTGAGTTCAGCATGACTGGCAGAGTGACTGTTCTCTACTCCACCTGGCTAGGAGTGCGTTTGGAATTTGGGGTAGAGTTCATGGCAGGGAGCTCTTTAGAGGCACTTCTTGTGTAAATGCTGAAATGGGAGGACAGCTGGTATTTGGACAGAAAACTGTGTATCCAGGTAGACAGATGCTGAGCAGTCAAAAGCAAGAACATGTGTGTTCCTTGAGAGACTTCCTCTCTGTCTGCTTTCCCCTCAAAGCCCCCATTCTTCTACCTATCCAGTTCTCAGATCAGGGAGAAAGTGTCATGAAGTGGTGAAGGCTACACTCTGAAGGCACAGTGCTTAGATTCTCACTTCTAGTTAATGGCGCCTTCAGCAACTTGCTAAGCTTCAGCATCTCCATCTGTGAAATGGAAATACTGTAATGCTAGAAATTTTCTCAGCATTATTGTAAGAATTACATGAGATAATTTATGTAAATCCCAATGACATCTGCCATACAATAAATGCTCAGAAAATGTTGCGGGTTAGTATGTCTTTAAAATAATCTGGGTACAGTGGTACAACACCTGTAATCCCAGTGACTTGGGGAGCTACGGTAGGGGGAGACTGAGGCAGGAGGATTGCAAGTTCAAGGTGAGCTACGGCAACTTAGCAAGACCCTGTCTTAAAATTTAAAAATAAAATAAAATAAAAACTGGGAATGTAGAATGTAGCTTAGTAGTAAAGTGTGTGGGGGGGGGAGAAGGAGGGGGAGGGGAGGGGGAGGAGGAGGAGGAGGAGGAGGAGGAGGAGCAGGAGGAGGAAGAGGAGGATGAGGAGGAGGAGGAGGAGGAGGAGGAGGAGTAGTGCTGGAAGCTCTTTAAACCTAGGTTTATGGGAAACATTGGGTGGCTCAGAGTCTGCAGGGGGAAATCACAGAATTCTAGAGATACTTCTCCAAATTAAGGGCTGGTGGAAGCTTGGCTCTGGACCTGCAGAGTAACAGGTATAGGCCTGCTTTCTCACTCTTTGCCAGATCTTCAGAGGTAAAAGGAAAAAAAAAAAAATGTTCCCTCTGGGAACTTCCACAGAAATAAAGTAGATTTTTAAACACACTGTAATACTGAGGTTTTCAAATTTAATGAATAGCAATCTGTTAGACATTAATGCTCTATTCACTGATGATAAACACTATCATACCAAACTGATGACTAAGACCAGAGATGCTGATGATTGATAAATATTATCACAGTTAAAAAAAAAATCACACTGCAGCAACAAAAGGGGCAGAAAGACGAACTGGGATAAGTGAAGGAACCAAAGAAGACATTTTAAAGAGAAAGGCAGAGAAGTATTAAAATTCAAAAGGACATCAAAATAGACTATCTATGTGCATGAGTTTCTTTCCTTCTTAATATCCTTAATCTTGGGATAACTTAATATCCTTAATCTTCAGATAACTTAGGTGGCAGGCAGCAGCTATGGCAGGGCCTCATACATTGTTAGTTTTTTTTTTTTTTAATTTATAGAGAATAAATATTTATTCAGTTTCCATTGTTAGGTTTTGAAGTTCTTTTCCTGCCAAAGGATTGCCTTCTCTGTGCATCTGGTTTTTTTTAAAGGTTCTGTACATCTTTTTAAAAATTTTATTCTAATTTGTTATATATGATAGCAGAATGCATTTCAAATTTATATTACACATATTATAGAGCACAATTTTTCATATCTCTGATTGTATACAATGTAGAGTCACACCATTCATGCCTTCATACGTGTACTGCTGTCCATCTCATTGCACTGCCTTTCCTACCCCCATACCCTTCTGCCCTATCTAGAGTTCTTCTATTCGCCCCATGCATACACACCCCCATCCACATTATGAATCAGCATAAAAAAACTGAGGATGTAGTTCAATGGTAAAGCACCCCTGGGTTCAATCCACAGTACCAAAAATCAAAACGATGTATACCTCAAACACCCATTTGGAAAGAATAACAAAGACTTGATAGAAAATGAATAAAGAACTTCTTCAAAAAAGGAGCAGCATGATACCTTTAGTGCCTTCCAGAATGTTCCTTACACTATTATATGTAGCAACATACAAGAGGGAAGTGTTACTGTATAAAATCTAAAGTGAGCTGGGCAACTCAGGAGGCTGAGGCAGGAGAATCTCAAGTTCAAAGCCAGCCTCAGCAAGGCCCTAAGCAACTTAATGAGACCCTGCCTCAAAATAAAAATAAATAAAACAGGCTGGAGATGTGGCTCAGTGGTAGTGGTTAAGTGCCCCTAGATTCAATCAAAGTAATAATAATAACAATAATAAAATAAAAAGAGATAGGAATGTAGCTCAGTGGTAGAGTGCCAATGGGTTCAATCCCCAGTACCACAGATAAATTAATCAAATCAAAGAGTCTGGGCTATCGATCAGAAGCAGTAGAACACTTCTCTAGCATGCATGAGGCCCTGGGATCAATCCCCAGCACTACAAAAAATTTCTTTTTTAAAAATTTGTTTTCAACAGGCTATACTATTCTCAAATACTTGCTAAAACATTTGTCTTGGCAGGATTTTTTAGGGTTTGTAGGATTGAGCATAATTCATTCACAACTTTTTTTTGAGACTGGATCTCACTAAGTTGCTTAGGGCCTTGCTAAATTGCTGAGCCTGGCCTTGAACTTGCAATCCTCCTGTCTCAGCTTCCTGAACCACTGGGATTAGAGGCATGTACTACTACACCCATCTGCTTACAGATTTTTAAACACAATACAGTGTTTCTCAAAGAGTGGTTTGTAGATTGTGGGGGTAGCTCCCACATTCATACTTCTAAGTATGGGATGGAACCATGATTTTTAACATTTTTTTGTTTTATTCTTTGAGTAATCTTTTTTTTTTTTCTTTTTTGTACTGGATATTGAACCCAAGGGCACTTTATCACTGAGCCACATCCTTATCCCCTTTTATTTTTTATTTTGATACAGGGTCTTGCTACATCACTCAGGGCCTCACTAAATTGCTGAGGCTGGCCTCAAACTTGTAAGCTTCCTGCTTCATTCTCCTGAGTCACTGGTATTACAGGGGTACACCACCCTGCCCAACTTTTTCAGTATTTTTGAGGCAGGGTCTGGTTACATTGTCTATGTTGTCCAGTCTAGCTTTGAATTCATGTTTCTTCTGACTCAGCCTCTGGAATAGCTGGAACTAAAGGCTTGTGCCACCACTCTTAACACCTGTGTTTTTCTTCTAATCAACAGAACACAGCAAAGGTGATGGAATGTCACTCACATGATTATGTTATTATATATTACATGTTTATGTCTACATTATATACATCATATGTAAGATTTATATATATTACATATATGAATATTATGTGTGAATGCATACATGTGTACATGTATGCTTGCATGTGTACACATAGCTCCATCCTAGCAGATGGGAAAGAAACACCCTTGCTCTCTCTGAAAAAGGTGCCATGTTATGAGAGGACCATGTATGAAGGACCAATGGGCAGCCTCTGGTTGCTGAGAGTGGTCCCCAGCTGATAACTTGCATGAAAATGTACCTCAACCCTACAATTGCAATAAGATAAATTCAGCCAATGACCTGAAGTGGTTTAGAAGTGGATCTTTCCTCACTTTTGAGCCTCTGATCACTCCAAAGCTCCATGGACACCTGGATTATAGCTGGGTGAAACCCTGAGCAAAGGATCCAGTTAAGTCTTGCTTGGTCCCTTGAGCCACAGAAACTTTGAAATAATAAATCAGGGACTGTGTTAGTTTAAAATGTCAGTTTCTGTGCTCCATCTGAAGTCTACTGAATCGAATCCCTGGACATGAGATTTGGGATCCTGCATTTTAAACTAGAACTTTAGGATTCTAATGTATATAAGAATTGGTCCTGTGTGTCCATCAAATAAAACTGCATATCATCAATTCCCCTGGAGCTCTTTAAAACGATCCCTGCCAGTCACAAGTTCCAAATTGCTGGGATTACATGTGTACACTTGTAATCCCAGAGGTTCAGGGAGTCTGAGACAGGGGGATCACAAGTTCAAGGTCAGCTTCAGGAACTTAGTGAGGCCCTAAGCAACTCAGGGAGGCTCTATTTAAAAAAATAAAAAATGGTTGGCGATGTAGCTCAGTGGTAATTTTTTTTTTTTTTGTACCGGGGATTGAACTCAGGGGCATTTAACCAATAAGCAACATCTCCAGCCCTTTTTTGTATTTAATTTAGAGACAGGGTTCTCACTAAGTTGCTTAGTGCCTTGCTAAATTGCTGAGTTTGGCTTTGAACTTGCAATCCTCCTGCCTCAGTCTCCTGAGCCACTGGGATTACAGGTGTGCACCACTACACCTGACCTCAGTGTAAATTGCCCCTGGATTAAATCTCCAGTGCCCCAAAACAAAACACACACACACACACACACACACACACACACAGAGAGAGAGAGAGAGAGAGAGAGAGAGAGAGAGAGAGAGATTTCCCTGGAGATTTGTATTCAGTGCTTCAGAAGTAAGGCCCCAAAATCAATTTTGTCAGAGCTCCATAGGAAATTTTGGTACAAGGAACTACTAGTTTAGATTATGTTACCTATATTTACAAATTAGTGAAATAATTTTAAAAATGCTTAGCAAATCTTGGGATTGGTTTTGTGAAATAAATTCTGAATTACTTATTTTTGCTATAATGTCAAATTTAAGATTAACTGTGACAGGAAACAGAATTCTGTTAACTGAAGTATTAAAATAAATCATTTGATTAATACATGTCAAGGCACATATACTTTTACCAAGATATTTTGTAGATTTTGAAGAATTAAAAATGTCAAAAAGTTACTGTCTTGTATAACTAAAAAGAATAAAAAATTAGAAAAAAAATGTCAAAAAGTGCACGTGTGTTAAAAATAGCACCCAGTATTTTGAATTTAAGAATAAAAGTATTTTTAATTTAGGCATTAAAATCTAAAAACTTGGGGCTGGGGATATAGCTCAGCTGGTAGAGTGCTTACCTCACATGCACAAGGCCCTGAGTTCAATCCCCAGTACAAAAAAAAAAAAAAATCTAAAAACTTATCTGTACTTTAGTCACATAAAAACAGCAATCAAATATGAATAGAAAACATTATAATTAATTTTGCTATATTATGTGTGGTATTATGGATTAAACCCAGGGGCACTTTACCACTGAGTAGTTCCCCAGCCTTTTTATTTTATTTAGTTAGGCAGGGTGTCACTAAGTTGCTGAGTGAGGCTACCCTCAAGCTTGTGATTCTCCTGTCTCAGCTTTCCAAGTTGCTGGGATTACAGGCATGTGCCACCATATGTGGCTTCCAAATAACTACTTGCAATATTCCTTAAAAATGGCTTTGTGGTGATATTTGAACAGTATCTAAGCTCATCAGAAACTGCTGAAATATGTGATGCTAGAATAATAAGGATTGATTATAAAGTAGTACATTGGTGGGCAAGGACAGAAAGACAGGCCAATGGAAGAACAGGGTGTCCTGAAACAGGCCCATATCTGTATTATCTGACACTGTAATGCAGCAGGGAAAGATGGTCTTTTCAATAAATGGTGTTTGGTCAATTAAGATAGTCAATTGGGAAAAAACATGAGTCTCAATCCACATCTCATACCATTCAAAAAAGTAATTTCAAATGGATACTAGATGTAACTGCTAATGGTTAAACAATAAAGCTTTTAGAGAAAATTATTTTATGACTTTGGAGTAAACAAAAAATTTTTAATCTGATACTAATAACACAACCATGGGGAAAAGGATGAATTGGAAACCAATGAAATGAAGACTTCTGTTCATCAAAATACATCATTAGGAGTAAAAAGACAATCTACTGAGAAAATGCTTAAACGTACAGATCTGGGCTGGGAATGTGGCTCAGTGGTAGAGTGCTTGCCTGGCATGTATAAGGCTCTGAGTTCAATTCCCATCACCATTAAAAACCAAACCATCACCCCTCCAAAAATAAAAACAGATCCAATAAATGTCTTGCATTTGAAATTTCAAGAACTCCTACACACTACTAAGAAAAAGAGAGACAACCTATTAGAAAAATGGGCTAGGTTTGGGGGTGCATCTCACTCTGGGTGTAAGACCAAGCCCTATGCCTACCCCACCCCCAACAAAAAGAAAAATGGGCAGAATTGAACAGGAATTTTACAAAATAGGGTATTCAAATGGCCAACAGACATAAAAGGTACACAGTTCATTAGTCATCAGAGAAATGCAAATTAAAATCTTAGTCCATCACCACTATGTCCCCAATAGAATGAAAAAGATAGTATGGGATATTGGTAAGGATGTGGAGAAATAGGAATTCACATACTCCTGGGGGGAGTGTAAACTGGGCACTATAATCAAGCAGAATGTGCCTGCAGCCAGCAATTCCACTCTTAGGTGGAAGTGCATCCATATGTTCACAAAAACACAAGAATATCTGCAGCACTATTCAAAATAATCCCCAATTGGGAAACAACAATGTTCATCAGCTCAAGTGTGCAGTAGGTTGGATAAATAAATTGGATAAATAAAACAATCTAGCCATACAGCAGAATGTTATATATCAACAAGGCTGAATGAATTATTGCTAAATGAATTACTGCTAAACGCAACCAGGGTGACTCTCAAAAAACATAGTGAACAATGCCATATTCTGGAGAGAACATATCACTACATGGATGGAAAGTCTAAAACCTGGCAAAGCTCCTTTATGGTGTCAAAACCAGCTTAGTAGTCACCCTTAGGGGGAAGCAGTGACTGTAAGAAGGCTTATAAGAAGGCTGTAGGAGGTTAGTAAAGGTTTATTGTACTAGATGCAAATAGTACAGGAAATTATCACTTGGTGAAAATGGTTAAGCCATGCACTTAGGATCTATGCACTCTTCCAAATGTGTTATGTATCATTTCTTAAAAAAAATCTACTAAAACACACAACACAAACTGGATGTGGCTTCTTCTGAGTCACTCCTGAACCTCATATTCCCTGGGTTAGGTGTCTCCACTTGAGATTTCATACTTCCTTCCCCCTCTCTCAGCAGCACTTCTCTGGTGCATTGATTTCTTTCTTTTTTTTTTTTTTTTTTTTGGTAGCTGGACACACAATGCCTTTATTTTTTTATGTGGTGCTGAGAATCAAACCCTGGTCCCGCCCGTGCTAGGCGAGCACTCTACTGCCTGCCTGGTGCATTGATTTCTAATTTACTTGTCTCCATGGGGCCCAAGAGGGCTGAATTTGTCCTGTTCATCGTGTCCCTCTAGTACTTGGCTCAGTGCCACGGTGGAGGTCGCTAAATGACTGGGCCTCAGAGGTACTTAACCCTACATAAAACCATGTTTTTGCCACAAGTCAACCCAAGAGCAGACACGCAGAGAAAACAGTATCTACAGTTTAAGACTGAAACAACCAGAGTCAGGCTATGGAACCCCAGCCAAAGGAGAGGAGCCCGGCACCAGTTTCTTTTGCGACAGAAAAGGTGACAGCTTTCCCGGAGGAACTTCTTAATGCTGCTTACGCGTTCTGGGTGCCAGTCGAAAGGACCGGGAGAAAAGAAGGCGGTCACTCCGGGACAGAGGAGACAGAGTTGGGACGAGTCCCGGAAGAAAGCAGGACGGATTCTTGCGGCTCAAAGTCGGGTCTGGACCTAAGGGCCGCGGGTTGCCCCAGAAGTCCCGCAGCCACGGTGCCGCCTCTCCCGACCCGCCCGTCGGGTCATTCACCTTCGCTCTAGCCAGGGTCTCGGAAGTCTGCGGCGCGGGCTCCGCCCAGGGAAGTGCTGCGCTGGCCCGACTCCCGGAAGCGGGAGGCCACTGCCCCTCCTGCCCGCGCCTGTCGCTGGAAAGCAGCACCAGGCGGCCTCTGGGTGAGGCCGGCCTCCTGCAGGTGGGAAGGTGGGCCTCCAATGGACATTGGCCTCAGGGACTTGGACATGAGCCCTTACACTCTAGTGCCCAAAGTCATATGAAACCCCTGAGCCCCAGTAGGGGCTGGATGGTGGAAAAGGAAAGAAACTGTTTCGCTCATTAGCCCTCTAACACCTTGCATGGGACGTGTTCACACCCTATTTTCTTTTATATCACGGAGAAAAATAAGGCTTAGAGAGATTAAGTTTCTCCAGAGTCACACACGGTTAGCTAAGCGGTAGAATGGGGCTGGAGTGCAAGAGGGGGTGGGCCCAGTGTGGCCCCTGTGAAGCTGTGCTTCCAGGGAACAGGAACCCCAGGAACGCTGCTGTCAAAATGCTTTGCCCCTACAGGCCTTCCCAAATGGGCGTTACCAACAATTCTACAGGATGCCAACAGAGCTGCTGCAATATGTGATGTTGGCAGGCCCTTGGTCAAAGAGTTAAGAGTTTGCTTTGAGATGTTCACGAGCATATGGATCCCCAAGGGGATAATGTAACATTTCCTAAAGGTATTTCAACATAGAAGAAATATTAATAATATCTTCTTGAACACTGGCAGTGTTCCATAGCATGCCAGTTTGGGAAACTCTGTCTTAAAACTATATTCTTTAAATGCTGGAGGATGGAGGTGGTTTATTTGGGCCATTCTAAGATTGATTATCCACCTTCTCCAGTCTGATTTCTCAGCCGAAATGGATGAGAAGCCCATCCTGTGAGGGTTTGTGCTATAGGGTTATTTATGCCCAACTCTTTGTGACCACTTTCCTTGTCAAAATTATGGTCTCTGATAGTTCATGTTGTAAGGATTAAGTGAGTTTCATAAGGAACACAGGGCACCCAGCATTTGACAACATGTTCAGTCAGTGTTCACTTTTGCTCTTTAGCAGGTACACCTCTGCTCTTCCCTTCTCCCAGAGTATTGTAGGGACAGATGAGGCAAGGTACTGAAGATAGGGAAACAGTTTTATTTGGCTGCAGCCAGGTTCAGAGGGCACAGCTTTTGCTGTAATCAATCAATCAATCCCCTGAACCCCAAGTTCAGGTAGTTTCAGAATTTTATATTCAGCATGTAAGGGAGGGGCTCAGAAGTTCTCAATCGCAGAAGTTTACATAAAAGCAGCTTTTTCTATCACTGTTCTGGACAAGTTAACCCTTCTAGGACAACACCTGAGAAGGGGAGAGCTTTTTCTTCCCTTTCTCCCCCCACCCCCTCAGCTGTTACCATGGAGCCCAATTGGTAACTCCTCTTATCTTAGAAATGTAAACATCTCTGTGAAGCTCCAGCTCAAGGCCCAAAGGCCTTGTTTACACATTTCTATAAACTACTATACTGGATACATGTTTCTGAAAACCTAGTAAGAGTGTGTTCAGCACCAGGAGTGCTGATTTCTTCCAGACCAGCAGCCAAGTAAAACAGGATGACACGAAAATAGGAAGTTTATCTACATTGAATTCTTTTGTAGAAACCCTTTTGCTGACGGTCCTAAAATTAGCCATGGTGAAGATTTCTGGAGAAGGCTAGTTAAGATTTTCTGTGGAGAAATGGGGTACCACTACAAGAGTGCCCTCCCTCTGCCCAACTCTGCTCTGCAGAATGGCCTTCTTCTGGCCAGGCTCATTTTTGCAGCCTATTCAAGGAAGCCTTTCTTAACTCTGCCCTTCCAAGTCCCTATGGTGCTTTGCTTAGCTTTTTCATTAGACTGAAGTTTCTCTGAGCCAGGGATGGGTCCAACAGGGAGTGCTCACAGGGACACTCAAATGAAGTAGCATTGCAAATACAGGACAAGCTCTGGGACGCTGGGTGTTGGGCAAAGATAAAGGAGATTTAGTTCAGGCCCTCACATAGGTCCAGATTCTGTAATCTCCACCTATGGACTAGATTGTCCCTTGAGGTCACACCAGTTAATCTATCCTCTATCAGATGACCCTCTTAGATATCCTGCAGGCACTCTTCATTCAACATGTCCCATGTTAGCATGACTCTTCAGTTCCTGGTCTCATTTTTCTCCTAGGGTTGCAACCATAGGGGCTCTCCCAGTTTGGAGTGTGTGTGTGTTTTTTTTTTGTTTTGATACTGAGGATTGATCCCAGGGGCACTTTACCACTGAGCTGTATCCCAGTCCTTTTAATTTTTTATGTTGAGACAGGGGCTTGCTAAATTGCTGAGGCTGGCCCTGAACTTACAGTCCTGCTTTGGCATTCTCATTCACTAGGATTACAGGTGCGTGTCACCACACCTGGCCCTTAATGCACTCTTAATACTGCACTTGTGTTGAAGGGCATTATTTCTTGGTGAGAAAGTAATGAAGGCCTTTTCCTTCCAACCTTTAGATTGGGATGTCTGTGCTGAAGAGACAGTGTGCACTGAGCATCTGAGGAGCCATCTTATAGGGTTAATGGGATTCTGTCTGCCCTGACCTGTCTGTCCTATGCCCTTGCCTTGGCAAGTTCCTTCCTTTCTTTCAGCACTGCTCTGGTGGTTCTTCCTCTTCTCTTGCTTCATTTGTCCTGGTTGCCCCAGACCCTGGCAACCATTTCCCCTCTTTTCCCTTCTATCTGAGGTCCATATCATCTTTTACATTTCATTGTCCCGGAAGCCCCTTTTGAGGGAGTGGTCATTTTACCAGCTGGCTCTACTCCATTCACTTCTCCTTCTCTATAGCTGCCACACCTCAAACTTCACCCATCACTGAACTACTGGGTACTGAATCCCACTGGTGTGTCATTTTATGCTGTTGGCTGCTTCCTCCTTAGCTTCTACAACACAACATTCTACTGGATTTTTTTCCTGCTTCACCAAGCATCTCTTCAGCACCTTCTTTAGTTTGTCCCTTAAATGTTGCTGGGTTCCCTTTAGCTTCCCTGCCTAGCCTCCTACTTCTAACCTCCCTTGACACCATCCTGTTCCATGATGCTATCTCTACTTAAAGACCAGATTGTTCTGTGAGGCCACAACAATTAATCTCTCTCTCCTCTTAGATGACCCCATTTGGATGTCCTACAAATACTCTTCATTCAACATGTCCCATATTATTATGGCTCATCAGTTCCTGGCCCCCTTTATTCACTCCATGATCCTGCCAGCAGTTACTCTGAATCCTGTCATGGTCTAAATGTGTCCTGTTCCCTCATCCTGCTCCCCACAAAGGGGATATGAGGCCCCAGGGCCTCACACACACCAGGCAAGCACTCTACCACTGAGCTTCATCCCCAGCCCTTAGTTCAAGTTTCACTCAATTGCGCAGGCTGGCCTTGAACTTGTGATCCTCCTGGCTTTTGTGTTTACTCTGGCTCTGCAGAGGTCACACTATTATCTGATCAGCCTCCTGAGTAACTGGGATTATAGGGGTGCACAGAACCTGCCCACCCCCCAAATTCTTGAAACCTAATACTCATTGTGATAGTATTAACAAGTGGGGCCTTTTGGAAATGAGTGAATCATGAATTCTGTCCATATGAATGGGATTAGTGCCTTAAAAAAGAGGAAGAAGGGAGCTACCTTAGTCCTACCATGTGAGGATGTAAGAGAATACACCATCTTTGAGGTAGACAGCAAACTCTTATTAGACACCCAATCTACTAGTACCTTGATCTTAGTCTCCAGAACTTATAAGCAATATAAATTTCTATTGTTTATAAATTACCTAGTTTAAGATATTCTGTTGTGGCAGCCCAAATAGAATAACACAAATCCCCTGAATCTTAATTCTTATCTCTGAGCCTGTTAGTGTTTTCACCCTGCCTGGATTCCCTTAAGTTGCTTATTTAGGTTGTGCTTGAAGACCAACTTCCCTAAGCAGCTTCATGGAGAAATCCTTTCCTGTCTCACCCAGACCTCCAGCTTAGGTGAGATGTCCATGTTTTGTGCTTACTCTGGCTCTGCAGAGGTCACACTATTATCTGATCAAGAGGCAGTGGTTGAGGGCAGGACATAGATATAAGAGCTCTAGTGAAGACTCATACTATGCTTTGCTTTACTTGCTAATGGATCTCTAATACGTATGGACAGAAGTTAGGGCTGAATAAATATTGAACAGATGAACAGAGCCATCCCTCCCTCTACAATCAATGTTCCTACAAAAACTTGGAAACAGGGGCACTAGCTTGGAATAAGATGCCTACCACTGGGCTCTAAGAAAGCTCCTGGGAAGAGGATGGGGCTGTGCTTCCCCACTCCTGGTGTCAAAGGCTAATGAGATGCTTGGCAAGCTTCTACCCTGAGCAGAAAAGTAGAAGGAACAGAAGACAGGAGGGAAAGAGATAATCACATTTATTGACTGATGAATAGGATAAATAGACAAGTCATGAATCTGAGCCAGCCTTTCCCAGAATTGTTCTGCCTGGTTTCTGCCCTGGTCTACCCAGAGAGTCAGAGGCCAGCTTTCTGGGTCAGTACCACGAAGGAGACAGTCCTGGGCCACAGCTCTCAGAACTCCAGCTGTACTGCCTTGGTGGGTACCATCAGCCTGTGCTACAGATCAGTTCTAGGGACCTGCCCCATCACTTTCTCTTGTCCTGGGTCTGAAAGCCTGTGCTCACTGACTTGTCCAGCCACAGGAGGCCAAAACGGCCTAGATGAGAAGACAGTGGAGAAGGGGATGAGTCTCTGGAATTGGCTGCAGGAGACCCTGGCACAGTGCAGGGAGGACTCAGGAAGTGATGGGCTAGAGTGAGGCAAAGATCACAGCTGGGCCAGTGTGGCCCAGTGAAGAGCTTCCAAACTCAGAAGATATTGTCCTCCTGGAACTTCTCTCCTAAGTGAAAACGGCTGAAGAGGAAGGGGCTCATGTTGATGGTCTGGAAGTGGCCATCCAGCACCATTTCTGCCACAGCTCGCCCCACGGCAGGGGCATGCTGGAGCCCATGACCACTGAAGCCTGTGGCAAAGTACATGTTGACGACTAGTGGGTGGGGGCCCACCACGCCATTCTGGTCAAAAGTGTTGTAGTCATAATAGCCAGCCCAGGCGTTCCGAACCTGCAGGTACACAAGAGGCTTGGGTTCTCAGGAAGGCTGCAGACATACTTAACCCTCTTTTTGTTTCCCCTTCCAGTACAGGGGCTTGACCCCAGAGCCTCATGCCATATTAGCATTCTACCACTGAGCTACACCCCCAGCTGAGGGTCGCATTAAGTAGCTGAGGCTGGTTTGCAATCCTTTTGCTTCAGCCTCCTGAGTAGCTGGGCATTATAGGCATGTGCCACTAAGCCTGGCTTCAACCATCACTGTTCGTCAGGAGTCAGCTGCTGAGGATGGGACGGGTTCAAATGACTCTTCAGCAGTTATGAGATGGTGGAAACAAGGCAGTAGATAGATTCAAGGGACTAAGATACTCCAGTATCATCCTTCTTGTCCAATGTCCAAAAGCAAATAGGAAGAACTACACCCTGCTAGTTACCTTCAGACTCTGAAAAGCTGGTACCCTCTCAGCCAAATGGGGCCAAACCCTGTCCTGGAAGAAATTATGGTCCACATCCAGGTTTGTTGAGTCTGGCTCCTCTTCCTGGGTGAGAAAAGGGGACAAGACTTATATTGCCTAAGACATAAGGGCAGACTTAGACCTCATTGATCCTTTTAATCAATCCCCCCAGTAGGTGGGGAACCCAGAGAAAAGGTCCCAGTTCTAACTGGGTAGGTAGTAAAGGAGCTACAGCATCAATGGCACAGGATTTATCCCATCCCATCCCCCACCAAAAAACAAAACAAAACAAAACAAAAAAAACACCTGGCTCTTTTATGGCAAATAGTCTATTTAGTCTATGTCCCTTCCCAACATTGCTCGCCCGACCTCCCCTTAACTTACCTCAGTGGGGCTACAACCCCCTAGGTAGTTGTTGCCTAATCCTTCCCGGCGGAAATAGACTCCATTTGTGTCTGCAACAAATGGCATCTCCAGGCCTGGACCTTGGGGACAGTGCCATACATACACATACCTGTCATAATCAGGGGGTTAGTGTATCATAGGAACAGCATGGCTAGCAATCCCCCGCCCCCTACCTCATCCACACACACACATACACAAGCACATGCATATGCACAACCAACATTTATATTTCTTTCTTTTCTTCCACTAATGTCCTGGGATGCCCTGAGGGAAGCTACCTTTTTCTTGGCTCCACAGGTAGCTTGGTGCCCTGCAGGGTACCAGGTGGCCCCTTCCCAATACCAGCCAGCTCTGCTATTTGCCCAGACCAGGCTCCTGCAGCATTGATCACAATGGCACATTCCACTGGTTGGTACTCCAGGCTGTTGTTCATTTTCACCTGCAGGCACCAGAAGATGAGGGGAGGGAGGGCCTGGTCCATGAGACACACACTTCCCCTAAGCCTTAGTTTACCCCTGCTGGAAAGCAGGTAGAAGACCAACATCAGGATAGTTATTACTTTTCTTGTCCCTCCACTGTGTTAAGCATACAGGAACTAGGGACTTACGTGGACTTCATAGATCCTTTTCAAGACCACCTCCTCCCCACTTGAGGTCACCATGCGGTTAGATGAAGTGATAAAACCTGTATGAAAGAAATCAAATATAAGCCTTCGGAGCTGGAGGTGAAGCTCAACAGCACAGCACGTGCTTAGCATGAGAGACGCCCTGCTTCAGTCTCCAGCACTATCCATGCTGCACCCCTAGTAAAAAAGTCCTTGAGGTAGGTTAGGGGTAGGGAATGGGGTTTCCACTGGTTTCTGTTTTTCTTTTTTTGTAGAACTGGGGATTGAACCCAGGGGTGCTCTACCACTAAGCTATATCCCCAACTTTTTATTTTTTATGTTGAGACAGGGTTTCACTAAGTTGCCCAGGCTGCCTTCAAACTTGAGATCCTCCTGCTTCAGCCTCCTGAGTCAATGAACGGGGTTACAAGGTGCGCTACTACACCCAGCTTCCCTGGTTCCTAAGGAAAGAAAGCTAGAATGATGGGTGCTTTTCTAGACACTGAAGTGAACAGAAATCAGGTAGCCAGGACAACTTGGCTACACACATAACAGAACAGTGCTGGAATTGTGAAACAGGTTGGAAGTCACAAAGCAGTCTAGTGAGGGGTAAGGTCAGGTTATCTATCCCTAGCCCTCAGGGAGAAGGTCTCCTGCACTGAGCCTTGCTTAACCTGTGAGAAGATGGGCCCCAGTGTAGACCATACTCTGGGTGATAGACAAAAGCAGAGGGAATGGGGCCATGGACTCACGTGTCACCTCTCCCTGGCAGAAAAGGACTCCCATGGACTGGACCTTCCGCCGAAGCCCCTGAAGCAGAGACCAGGGGTCAAACCAACCTTCACCCTCCATCCCTGAGATAAGAAAAAGAGCACCCACAAAGAGGGATTAGGACTCTCTTCTCAAGAGTATATTTCGTAGTCAACCCCACCCCTAGTATTTTTCTAGGACTGGGAAGCCAGGGAAGGTCATCTTGACCAACTGAATCAGAGAGTCCAATCCTGCTAAAGGGCAGAAAAACAGCATGGCTTGGGGCAGACCTCATTGCCAAGAAGGAAAACAGTTCTCCTTCATTATGGCCCTGGCATACTAAGCCCCCAAACCGCCATCTTCAGGGAAAAAACTGTCCCTTCTACAGGCAAACCTCACCATAAGATGCCAGGGCCACTCCCTTCGTGTTCATCCAGGGAAACTTGTTCTGAAGCTGCTCAGGAGACATCAGACAAACTTTGGCCCCTTCCTGCCTGAGAAAAATGTATAGGTCTGCATACATGTATTAAGAGTGAGTGTGTGAAAGAAGCAAGTATGAACCTCAACTCTACAAGCAGGGAGTCCAGCTCATTCATGTCACTTCCCTGTCCTAAATGCCCTGATTTTTTCTCACTGCCGAATGGGCAAAGACCCAGCTTCCTAGTCAAGGTCCCTCAGTATCTAGACCCTCTTTCCTTCCCTACTCCTTCATTTTCTTTTAATATACTTATTTCTTCTCATTTCCTACCCATTCCATGTATTTTCATGACACAGTGGGGAATTTTGTTACCTCCACTCCTCCCAGGACAGCCTCCCTCTCCACCACGTAATATAATCCTATCCATCAGCACAAGTATCATGTCTGGGACCCTGTTCTCCAAAGGCAGGAGAATGTAGGTGCTAAAGAAAACTCATGAGCCAAAGTGCCTGGTTTTAGTCAAATCCCAGTGCCACCATTTATTAAGTCCTTGTGCCTCAATTTCCCCTCATGTGAAACAAGGATTTTCTGATGATTAAATGAGTTAATACTAGCAAAGCATTTAGGAGATTACCTGTCACTAGTTAGACTTGTAGAGGTTTTATTAAAGAAAGCCTCCATTCATTATGTATCACAAAGATTCCCACCCTTGACTGATTCTGAAATTCACTTAGGGTAGAGGCTGCTAAATATGACCTGTTGCTTCTTTTTCTAAATGAGACACACTGAATCATTTATATTTTTATCTATGGCAACTTTTATGGCAGAGCCGAGTGGCTGCAATAGAGATAAAATGGCTGGCAAAGCCTAAAATATTTACTTGCTGGCCCTTTACAAAAAATGTTTGCTAGGGCCGGGGATGTGGCTCAAGCGGTAGCGCGCTTGCCTGGCATGCGTGCGGCCCGGTTTCGATCCTCAGCACCACATACAAACAAAGATGTTGTGTCCGCCAAAAACTAAAAAATAAATATTAAAAATTATCTCTCTCTCTAAAAAAAAAAAAAATGTTTGCTAGCTGGCTGCGGTGGTGCATGCCTGTAATCCCAGCAGCTAGGGAGGCTAAGACAGGAAGATAGCAATGGCGAGGCACTAAGCAACTCAGTAAGACCCTGTCTGTAAATAAAATACAAATAGGGCTGGGGATGTGGCTCAGTGGTTGAGTGCCTCTGAGTTCAATCCCCAGTACCCCCACCCCACTTCACAGAAAGAAAATGTTGGCTGACCTCTAAGTTAGGGTTCCTGTTTAAAAACTCAGATTCCCAGACCCTCCCTAGAATCTAGTTTATTAGGTCTGAGACATGTCCTAGGTCATTCTTATGATCTGGCAAATGCAAGAACCACTGTAGTGTTCTTTCCATATCTGCATGACAACTGTTAGCACTGGGTATCCAGGATGTGCATGAGTTCACCTTTCCTGACAAACTGATCTCCTAGAGAGTAGGCACCTGGGCCATCAACTCCAGCTTCCCAGTTCTTAACTTGGTTAAGAACTCACCACAAATATGAGGTTGAGAAGCAGCAAGGGATGTGCTAAGCACCCACCTCTGCATTTTCACCCTGTTTTCCAAGGTCGAAGCACCCTTTTCTGAAGCCAGCAAGAGATAGCCTGAGGGGTTGAACTGGAGGTCCACGGGAGGGGAATCCACCACAGCCAGGTACTCCTAGTGAAAGAAAAGGTGCTCAAAGAGGCTGACTTAAAGAAAAGAGTATTCCTGGCCTTCTCACTCACAGTTCCTAGCACCCAAACCAGAAAGATGGTCTCCTTTAGGCGCCCATACTGGGAAGAAAAGCAAGGGTTCCGACTCCTAGTTGTTTGAATCATTTCTGCTCCCTGTATCCCATTGCTAGATGGGCTGCTCCTCCTTCTGGGATCACCACCCCAACCCCTCAAATCTCATAGCACATACATTGATGTTCCGTAGAAAGTCGACTGAAAAGAGGGAGAGCTGGACATTCTCAGGCAATGAGAACTGCTGACGAATACCGCCTACAGAAAGCACTGTGGAGGCCTTTGAATACTGTGGAAAGACAAGAAAAGTTGAGGTACATCAGTATGTGAATGGAATACTGCAATGCAAGTTTAGAGTTCCAGACCTAAAGTTAAAGGAAAATCCTATTTGTAAATATATAACCTAAGAGGTGTAGGGGTGGGTGAACCCGTATGCAAGCCAACCACCAACTCAAAGATAAATATAAAATTGCTATGGGCAAATGAGAAGAGCAGAGAGGGCTGTTCATCTACAAAGGGTTCCACACAGTGGACCAAATGGTAATGACCTGGAAATCCAAGGTCAGGAGATTAATATTTGACTATTAGAAAACACAAGGATGTGGCCAAAGTACAAAGACTTGCAGTTAGCTGGCAATGGCAAATAGAAATAACTAAATGAAAAAAACTAAGTAATGGAACCTAAAAGAACATTAAGATAGCTGTTTGCATTAACAATAGCTTGAATGCAGGCTCTTTTGGCCAGGCCTTTGAGATCTAGAAAGATCCAACATTGTAGAATATCTTTTCAAAGCCAAAAACTTTATGCAATGCTCCTGGTTTGCAGAAGAATCTGGGATTATTTCTTTCTCATAAAGGTCAAAAGTCCAAAGCACAGTCCCTGTCTTTGGGACCTCCAAAGATTGAAGTGTTTCCTCTAGAGTCCTTAAAATGCATCATCCTCCTTGTCCCACTCAAGACTCTGCCCGACTCCAGACCTCACCGTGTGGTCTCGTTCCACCACCAGTACCCGAATGCCATCTCCTTTCTTTTGCAGCTTCTTCAGCCAAAAGGCTACAGACAAACCAAGCACTCCGCCTCCCACGATCACCACATCTGAGTGTTCGGGGGGCAGGTGGCTAGTGTCATACAGTGGAGTACAGGCCTCTCCAGGCAGGATGGACCGGATCTTCTTCTTAATCTCAGACACCTTTTCATCCCAGTCTGTGGGACATAGTTGTGGTTAGAGGGCCATTTGTTTCCTTCACGTGGTGGGGATTTGGAGGACAGGCACAGAAAAAGGTGGGAATACATAGGCACTTGTGTTGGCAGTCCCCACTTTTATCCCTTCTCATGAGGACAACTCTCACTCACTGCTTTGCTGGCTGTATGGTCTATATACCAACAGTCTGTCTCCCTTTTCATGTATCATGTCCAGCACTGCAGGATTCAATTTCCTAAAATGAACACTTTCTACTCTGTCCGCATAGGCAAGGTGACTCACATATATTTATCTCCTATACAGACTTCTCTCCCTCCAGACTCAGATATTCATATTCACTGACATCTCCACTAGCATATTCTAGGTCCACAGAAGAGGTCCTGGTACACCCACGTTGCAGCATTCTTTAAAGCATGGTACCTTTAAGTGGCACCTTATCCTGGACATCCATCACCACCAGTAAACCGCCATTTACAGAGGATCTGTCACTCAAGAAGGTCTGCCTTGGGATCCACACACCTGCCTGGGTCCTACAAACTCTGACAGGCAAGCTCTCCTCCCCAAGCTGACCCACTGTTCTGCCAGTGTGGGCCCGGGTCCCGGCCCTGAAGGTCACATAGCCGGAAGTACCCCAGAACCACAATACCCTCTTCAACTTTACCCAGAGTAGAGCCTCCTCTGTGCGTGCCTAGTCCCCGAATCAAGAGGCCCGGGCCGGAACGGAGCTGCAGCACGCTCCGGAACATGGCCCAGCACTAGTAAAAGCTTTACCACCGCTACCATCGGCGTGGTCAGAGCCCTGCGCCGACTGGCATTCAGAACAGCGCGCCCATTGGCCAGCAGTCCTCCCAGGCCCCACCCCTCCACGCTATAGGCAGCCACCTCCCCGTGACCACCCCAGGAGCCCCGCCTATGCCCGTCCCAACCCGCCATTGGCCTGTCTTGCTTATACGTCAGTCCTACGCGTCCTCAGGAGGACACCGGGAGGAAACCCGGACTCTCAAAACGGAAGTGCATTAAGCCGGTTTCCGGGACCGCTGGTGTGACGTGTCCCGCGTTTGGCGCAGCAGGAAGCGGCGGCGATAGCGGCCGAGTTCCCGGTGCCGGCCCCAGCTCCTCTCCAGCTGCCGCCATGCTCGACTTCTTCACCATTTTCTCCAAGGGCGGGCTCGTGCTCTGGTGCTTCCAGGGCGTGAGCGACTCATGCACCGGACCCGTTAACGCGTTGATTCGTTCCGTGCTGCTGCAGGTACCACCCCCGCGGGATCAGAACTCTGGTCTCTTTCTCACTGACCCCATCTATGGTCTCCCTTCAACTATTCATCCCGCGCCTTCCTCCCCCTACTCCCGGCCGCCCACCCTAAACTGGCCACTCACGGGTCACCCGGACTCTCTACCGCCCCTTCAGACTGCCTCGCAACTTTGCGACAACCCCCGCCTCCAATAATGGGACTCTAAGCCGGATTCTGGCTCCTCTTAGGACTTACATCCGCTCTCTCCGCTCACCAATAGCACCTTGGTTTTCTGTTATTTGGAGGCTGGGTGAAATTATGGATGAGTGTGTATACCTTTAATAAACTGTAAATGGTGCACAGCTGTTAGTAGATCTGATTGTTTATAGATTTCCCTTCTGGTTTCCACGTGTCTTGCCTCCCCTCTCAACTCTTTCTCACTGTTGGGATTCTGGAAATGCCCCAGCATCCTCTTGCCCTCAGGATAGGTTTGACTTTGCGGGGACGTCTCATTCTTTTCCAAAGGTAATCTTGTAGGTGACCAAGTCTGTGTTCTGTGGGGATAGCCTGAACCCTGAGACATACTCTTTTTCTAGGAGCGGGGAGGTAACAACTCCTTCACCCATGAAGCCCTCACACTCAAGTATAAACTGGACAACCAGTTTGAGCTGGTGTTTGTGGTAAGTGGGGATATTTTAGAGAGACAGTGATTACATTTTGAACATAGTCCTGATTATGAAAGAGAACTCTGATTAATTGTACCCAGTATATGTGATGAAGTAACTAAGAAAACTAGGAAAGTGAAAAGGGGAAAGGAAGCAACGTCTGGGCCAGACAGTGAGCTTGGCTGCCTCTCCAGATAGGGAAACCTGCCAGGTAGCTGAGCCTATCTCTGGAGGCTTGGGTTGGGTTGGCTTCCCTCCATTCTGGTCTGGCATGTAAGCAGATCTGTGGGCTCTGTTTTCTCCTCTAAACAGGTTGGTTTTCAGAAGATTCTAACACTGACGTATGTAGACAAATTGATAGATGATGTGCACCGGCTGTTTCGAGACAAGTACCGCACAGAGATCCAACAGCAAAGTGCTTTAAGTCTATTGAATGGCACTTTTGATTTCCAAAATGACTTCCTGCGGCTTCTTCGGTGAGAGGCCTCCTTTGTCCAAAATCAGCTTCTTTGCTTTGATGAGTCCCATCCTGACAGTGTTTCAAGGGTAGTAAATTGTGTGTTAAAAGCCACTTATAATTTGCTACCTAGTTTTGATTTTTGGTATGATGTCTTCTCTCTGGGTTTTATTTTCCTTCTCCGTGAAGTAGAAAGATCAACCATTCTTCTCTCTTTAGTGAAGCGGAGGAGAGCAGTAAGATCCGCGCTCCCACTACGATGAAGAAATATGAAGATTCTGAAAAGGCTAAGAAACCTGTAAGATCCATGATTGAAACACGGGGGGAAAAGCCCAAGGAAAAAGCAAAGAACAGCAAAAAAAAGGGGACCAAGAAGGAAGGTAATTTTAAGCCCCTTGGACACACTGAGACATGAAAGGTGTCTAACGTGGCACTAAGGACTGAGGTGTTCCTTTCTTTTTTCTTTGCCTCCCAGACACTCAATATATTCACCACCCTATCATCCCCTGATGATTCCCAAGATGTCTGGTCCAAATGTCCTCTTAAGGATTTGGAAGACTTTGTCTATTTGGGTGGGATTTGGTCTTTTTTTTTTTTTAAATCTCCAATGAGTCTTCTCCCAACAGGTTCTGATGGCCCGTTGGCTACCAGCAAAGCAGCCCCTGCAGAAAAGTCAGGTCTCTCAGTGGGGGCCGAAAATGGAGTAGAACTTTCTAAAGAGGAGCTGATACGCAGGAAGAGAGAAGAATTCATTCAGAAGCATGGGAGGGGTATGGACAAATCCAGGTGAGCATTCTGACTCGCACTAGTTCTAAATACATGGACATTGGGGCAAGGGAGCTTGTGTCTCTAGCTTATGTTTTCTTGTTTCTCCACCATAACCCTTTGTTCCAATACCCTTTGCAGCAAGTCCATGAAGTCAGATGCTCCCAAAGAGAAGGGCAAAAAAGCCCCCCGGGTGTGGGAACTAGGAGGCTGTGCTAACAAGGAAGTCTTGGATTATAGCACTCCTACCACCAATGGAACTCCAGAGGCTGCCCTGTCTGAGGACATCAACTTGGTAAGGGAAAACGGGCCTGCATGAAGTTCACCATTAATTAGAAATTAGGAAGAAGCAAGAGACTAGGAAGGCAATATTTGAATTTGAGTGAGGGGATGAATTATATTTGGAGCCTCCCCAGATTGGAGATAGCAGTGTGGATAGGGTAAACCCTTGGCTCTTATCCCTCAGAGCCTGTAGTGTTCCTGATCCCACCTCCTTCCTTTCCCCACATCCTCCAGATTCGAGGGACTGGGCCTGGGGGGCAGCTTCAGGACCTGGATTGCAGCAGCTCAGATGATGAAGGGGCCGCTCAAAACTCCACCAAACCTAGGTAGGGGGATTTCAGGTGGGGAGAGGTATATTTGGCTGCACAACTAATAGACCATAACTTCTGCCTGCGGCTTTATGTGTATTTGATCTCTTGTGCCTGCAGTGCTACCAAGGGAACTCTGGGTGGCATGTTTGGGATGCTGAAGGGCCTTGTGGGTTCCAAGAGCTTGAGTCGTGAAGACATGGAATCTGTGCTGGACAAGATGCGTGATCATCTCATTGGTAAGTTCTGAGGTCTGGACTGATTCATTCATGGAGTAGAGCTGGCAGGAAGCAGAACAGTTTCTAAGTGGTGCCACAAGGATCAATCACTGTTGACACAGAACTCACACCTGTCCCCATCTCTTCGCAGCTAAGAATGTGGCTGCAGACATTGCCGTCCAGCTCTGTGAATCTGTTGCCAACAAGTTAGAAGGGAAGGTGATGGGGACATTCAGCAGTAAGTATTTTCATGTTAAAATGTGCCTGTGCTTACTGAGATGTTAAACACACAGATCTCCATTCTTATGACTTGGCAAATTCCTTGTCTTCTAAACTTTATTATATAGCCTGGAGTTTTTAGGAAGGTAAATGAGTTGATACTTACAAAGTGCTTAGACCAGCATAGATTGAAATTCTATGACTAGATCCTAGTTTATGGTCTGCTAGCTCAGAAAGGTGTTGGGCATTTTTTAGTACATTCTTTGGGTCTCATGGCTGAGTTCCCTACTGCTTCCTTTTCAGCGGTGACTTCCACAGTCAAGCAAGCTCTACAGGAGTCCCTGGTGCAGATTCTGCAGCCGCAGCGTCGAGTAGACATGCTCCGGGATATCATGGATGCCCAGCGTCGCCAGCGCCCTTATGTTGTCACCTTCTGTGGTGTTAATGGAGTGGGGAAGTCTACTAATCTTGCCAAGGTCAGTGCAGTTTCACAGGCTGTCATTGATAACTTCTTTACTGTTTTAGAACCATGTTCTAGGTGACAGGTTTCTTAACTCTTTTGCACAGATATCCTTCTGGCTGTTAGAGAATGGCTTCAGTGTTCTCATTGCTGCCTGTGACACATTTCGTGCTGGGGCTGTGGAGCAGCTGAGAACACATACCCGGCGTCTGACTGCCCTACATCCCCCAGAAAACCATGGTGGCCGCACAATGGTGCAGTTGTTTGAAAAGGGCTATGGCAAGGATGCTGCCGGCATTGCCATGGAAGCCATTGCCTTTGGTAAAGTACACAGAAAGTGTGGGCTTGTTGGGGGTTCTTTTATCCTTGGGCACTCTTGGAATTTGCCCAGAGGATCAGCCTTCTGCTATTACAGACTTCACTGCTGAGTAACAGAAAAGTCAGAATTAGTTACTTGTGGTGCTTTACTTTAGGGTAAAGTGTATAGTTGGAGATAGAGCTCATACATCCTAACCAAAGAAACCTGAATTTGCTCACTTTTATCCGATTGCTGTCCTTTCTTTAAATGTTTTTGGTGGTGGCCAAGCATGGACATGTTCCTCACATTACCTTGTAACTGAATCCAGAGCCTGAGTAAGTAAACAGGTCTTAACAGCCAGACTATGAATTCTTGGGAGGAAGTTGGCAGAAGCACGAGTGACAAGTGTTTGAGTTGACCACTTTTTCTTTCTCTAGCACGTAACCAAGGCTTTGATGTGGTACTGGTGGACACGGCTGGCCGCATGCAAGACAATGCTCCCCTGATGACTGCCCTGGCCAAACTCATTACTGTCAATACGCCTGACTTGGTGCTGTTTGTGGGGGAGGCCTTAGTAGGCAATGAAGCCGTGGACCAGCTGGTGAGGGCTTGGGCCTAGTTCCCTTTACAACTTAAACTTTGGCAAATCAGATGCTTCTTATACTTCTATCATATTTTCCCTTTGCAGGTCAAATTCAATAGAGCCCTGGCTGACCATTCTATGGCTCAAACACCTCGGCTCATTGATGGCATTGTCCTTACCAAATTTGACACCATTGATGACAAGGTAAGTGTGAAAAAAACAAGACAGTGAGAAAGGAGGGAGGAATGGACTTCCTTCACAAGGGAGCTGAGGCCTTAAGGATGTTAAAAAAAGCTTTGTTACTAAGGGTGAGT